TTCTTTTCAGAGACAAGAGATCCTAGCTGTCTGTCAGAGGGATGATGAGGCCTGGGCACTGAAGAAGGTGGTCTTATGGCGTGGCAGACACAAACTATTATAAAATTTAGTATTATTGAGCATTCAGAATAGCAAGAGTAATAACAAATTAAATGGTCTGGTGGAAGGGAAAGAAAATATTCCAATTCTAATAACTTCTATTGAAATAGAATTTTTCTCCTTAAAATTACACTTACGTTTATTAAAAGAGCTAAATTAAGACCAATTCATCTATTACATTCCCTTTGGCCTGATTGTTTGCATAAACACTACAAGAATGGTAATTGACTAACTTTGCTGGAATCTCATGATTGAATCTTAATGTGCCCGGTAAGGTCAGGAAGCCAAGCCATCCAGTTGCCGTCATGCCTGCATGCAGTATCTGCTGAGTTGGGAGAATCATTGATTGGTTGCTTCCTGTACACCCCCTACTGGGGATCAAGCCCTCAACCCAGGCATGTGCCCTTGACTGGAATCAAACACAGGACCCTTCAGTCCACAAGCCAACGCTCTATCCACTGAGCCAAACCAGCTAGGGCTTATCTTATAAAAAAAAATAATAATAATAAAAATAGCTAACAATAAAAAGAACAAATTATGTAGAAATTATAATGATAATAGCAGAAGTATATGAAATAGTAGAAAAAGGTCCCTGGCTGGTTTTGCTCAGTGGATAGAGCATTGGCCCATGGACTGAAGGCTTCCCAGTTCAATTCCAGCAAGAGCACATGCCCAGGATTTGGGCTCAATCCTCAGTAAGAGGTGTGCAGGAAGCAGCCAATCAATGACTTTTCTCTCATCATTGATTTTTCTCTCTCTCCCCCTCTCCTTTCCTCTCTGAAATCAATAAAAATATATTTTTTTAGAAAATAAGAAAAAGGAAAAACCAAGTGTGGTTCTTTGAAAAGTTCAAGAGAATAGGTAAAATTTCCTTTAGGTTGATAAAGTATTGAAGCGAGAAGACACAAATTATCAATATCAGGTATAATACTAGAGATCCTACAAATCAGGGGCAACAACCTTTTTTTATATAAAGATTCAGATAGTAAATATTTTTGAGGTTTTGGGCAATATGATCTCTAGAGCAACCATTCAACTCTGTTTTTGTAGCAGTAAAGGAGCCACAGTAAATGAAAAGTGTAAAAGGTATTTCAAAAACAGGCTGTAGCTTGTGGCTTTAGTTTGAAGCCCCCTGCTATAGACACTAAACAATAGAATATTCTGAACAACTTTATGGGAAGAAATTCAACAGTTTAGAGCAAAACAAATTATTTGAAAGACTCAAATTGTCAGAACTGGTACAAGAAGAATTAGAAAATTAAAATGCCCTGCCCTGGTAGGGTGACTCATTTGACTGGAGCATCATTCTATACTCCAAAATGTTTTGGGTTCAATTCCCAGTCAGGGCACATACTTAGGTTATGGATTCAATCCCTGGTTGGGGTGCATACAAGAGGCAAACAATCAATGTTTCTCATCACATCACTATTTCTCTCTCTACCTCCTCTCTCTAAAAATAAATAAAAACATATCTTGGAATTTGGATTTTAAAAAATTGAAATAGCCCCATATCAGGTTTTCTCAACCTCAGCACTATTGACATTTTGGTCTGGATAATTCTTTCTGTGTATGTGTCGGGGTGAGGTGGGGAGGGGGTTATGTGTATTATAAGGTTTTCAGCAATATCTACCCACTGCAAGAAATACCACTCAGTTACAACCCAAAATATCTCCAGATGTTATCAAATGTTCTTTACAGAAGGGGTAAAATCACTTCTGGTTGAAAGTCAGAATACTATACTAAAGAATGAAAGAAATTCATAATGAAAAAAAACCATCCTAGGTGCTCTTTCATTGTATTGTTGATATATACATTTGATTGACTTTATATCATTTAGACTATCTTACAACTTTGTAGATAGAGGTTAACTTGTAGAAAAACCAATGACAATGTCAATCAATAATAATTGTCTGAGAGCAATGCAGATGATTCCCATCCACAGTAATGAGCATGAATTTTGTCCAGTAGAGATGGAATTGATTTCCATCTGGAAGAAGGGATAATTCTAAATGTTATAGTTTATTACTTAATATATTAATCATTTTGCAACTATTAGCAAATTCATTTCAGCATTTAGATCATCTAAATCTCTGAACCTCAAATTCTCATTTGAACAAGTACTACCATCTTATCGTTCCCTCATTATTTAGGATAATAACAGATGAGTAGTTTATTTTAATGAAGAAAATCTTTGGCATTTGTTCATTTTATATTTTTACTAGAGGCCTGGTTCACAAAATTCATGCACAGGTAGGGTCCCTAGGCTTGTCCACAATCAGGGCTGATAAGGGCCTTCAGCTGCCAGATAGGGCCTTTCTTCATTCTGCACCTGGTAGTCAGTGCACATTATAGCGAGCAATCAAACTCCTGGTCTCCTAGAGGAATTCCCAAGGGGACAACTTGCATATTAGGCTTTTATATATATAGATGAGTTATGTTTTTCACCTTTTAAATTCAATTTATTGGGGTGACATTGGTTAAAATTATATAGGTTTCAGATGTACAATTCTATAACACATCATCTGTATGTTATATTGTGTTCACCATTCCAAGTCAAGTCTCTTTCTATCACCATTTATACCACCCTCTTCCACCGCCCCCCACCCCCTCCCTCTGGTAATTACCATACTGTTGTCTGTGCCTATGAGGTTGTTGTTTTTTTGGTTCATCACTTCACCAGTGGGGCAAAGCTCCTCCCCTCTGACAGCTGTCATTTTGTTCTTTATGAGTCTGTTTCTATTTTTTTAATTTATTTTGTCCATTAAATTCTACATGAGTGGAATTATGGTACTTGTCTTTCTCTGGCTGGCTTATTTCACTTAGTTTAATGTTCTCCAGGACCATCCATGCTATTGCAAAGGGTAAGATTTCCTTCTTGGTTTTTTTTAAGGGTGTATGCCATTAAAGTAGTATTCCATTGTATAAATGTATAACAGCTTTTTTATCCACTCATCTAACTGATAAACACTTGGGCTGCTTCCAAATCATGACTATTGTAAATAATGCTGCAATGAACATACAAAGTGCATGTTTTTCACCTTTTGGAAATGATAACTTGCCCTGGCTGATGTGGCTCAGTTGGTTGAGCTTCTTCCCATGCACCAAAAGGTTGTTGGTTTATTCCTGGTCACAGTACATGCCCAGGTTGTGGGGCTCAAGCCCCAATATGAGTGAGACCTGCAGGAGACAGTTGATAGATATTTCTCTTTCTCTAAAATCAATAAAAATATATTTTAAAAAAGAATAACTTTGCAGGCTATAAGAAAATAAATACATATTAGGTGGTAATCTACACTAATAAAAGAGGAAATGCAAATTAACCATCATTCTGCTATACCCACCAGCCAATCAAAGCAAGTATGCAAATTAGCCCAACTAAGATGGCAGCCACCATAGAGCTGGGGTGAGCAGGAGACTTGGGTTGCCCCCAGCAATGGAGGAAGCCAAGCTTCCTGGCCAGCCCTGGCCTCCACTCAAGGCTACAAAGTTTCAATTCTATAAGATAAATAAATCCCAACAAATATGGTGGTGGCCACAGAGCTGGAGAGAGCCAGAGGCTTAGATTGCCCCTGGCGATGAAGGAAGCCAAGCTTCCTACCTGCCCTGGAATGCCCTGGCCTCCACTCAAGGCTACCAAAGTTTCAATTATAGAAGATAAATAAATCCCAGATACCTGCTTCCAGCCGGCCCTAGCCTATGGTTGGGTCACCAGGGGGCATGGCTGGCCTGCAAACCAACACAGGCCCCTTACCCAGGCTGCCCCACACCCCAAGGGAACCACCACCTTGATCCAGGACACCCTTTAGGCAAACAATCAGACCCCCACCCATGCACCAGGCCTCTACCATATCGAATAAAAGAGTAATATGCAAATTGACTGTCACTCCAACACACAAGATGGCTGTCCCCATGTGGTCAAAGATGGCTGCCCCCATATGGACACAAGATGGCTGCTACAAGATGACCAGCAGGGGAGGGCAGTTGGGAGGAACCAGACATGCAAGGGAGGGCAGTTGGGGGCAATCAAGCCTGCAGGGGAGGGCAGTTAAGGGTGACCAGGCTGGCAGAGGAGGGAAGTTGGGGGCGACCAGGCCTGCAGGGGAGGGCAGTTAAGGGTGACCAGGCTGGCAGAGGAGGGAAGTTGGGGGCGACCAGGCCTGCAGGGGAGAGCAGTTGAGGGGGGACCAGGCCAGCAGGGGAGGGCAGTTAGGGGTGACCAGCCTGGCAGGGAAGGGCAGTTAAGGGTGACCAGGTCAGCAGGGGAAGGCAGTTTGTGGCAATTGGGCTGGCAGGGGAGCAGTTAGGCATCAATCAGGCTGGCAGGGGAGTGGTTAGGGGCAATCAGAAAGGCAGGCAAGCTTGCAGTTATGAGCCAGCAGTCCTGGATTGTGAGAGGGATGTTTGACTGTTCTCGAGGGGTCCCCAGATTGGAGAGGATGCAGGCTTGGCTGAAGAACACCCCCTCCTCCCTTATGTACGAATTTCATGCACCGGGCTTCTAGTAAGTTATAAGAATAAAAGTAGGGTAAGAGGACGGTTACTGCCTGTTGGTGTAGTATGTACTATTTAATATAGGGTCAGTCAACCAGCAAGTCCTGTACTTTCTCTCTTTTAATTATATATGGGATCTAACTCTTTCAGTATCAACCACTAGCTCCCAATCCTCCCTGATACCCGCTTCTGGGATAAGGACTTCACGGAGTCTCTCCCAATGCACCAAGCATACAGGCGGAGCCACCATTCTTGGGAATGGGTGCTCTGGTCCAGCATCCTCTGAAGAGCCCTGGAGGGGCCGGCCCGCCCCTGAGAGGCATTGGTAGGCGGAGCCTCCGGAGGAGCAGCCGGAAGCCCCGCCCCCTACGGCTGAGCGGAGCGCACTGCCTCCCGGAACGCGGGAGCCTCGGGCTGCCTTTCCGGCCGGAGTTACCCTGCGGTGCACGCCGACATGGCTGCGCTGGTAGCGAGGGGGGTTCGGGACCTGCTGAAGCCAGTGGACTTCGCAAAGGTCCTGCGGAGGCACCGACACAAGAAGAAATGGGTAAGGTCCCGCCGGGAGCCCGGGAGGAAACGGTAGCCGAGGCCGATGACGGACGCCGCTGGGGAAGTGTCCCGGGTGAGGTGTCCCCCCGCCCCCTGGGCCGCCTCGGCCTCTTTCCCCGCCCCTCAGGGCCGTCCCCAAGCCCCTCCCTCCCCCTCATTTTTGGCGCCCAATGTCTTCCGTCGGCCCGTTTATTTCGCCACCCCTCTTCGACTCCTGCTTCCGTTCCGTCTGCAGAACTCGCGACTCCTCCTCTATAACTTACGTCATCACCCCGCCCTCATTCTCCCAGTGACGTCACCGCCTCTTGTTCCCGGCGCTGGGTTCTCTTCCCCGGGACGCTCCCCCGTCCCTTCCACTTCCCTTCCTCCCTTTTCCTTTCCCTCCCTCTCTTCCCCTTCCCCTTCCCCCTTGCCCCCGTATGACCTCTTCCTCTTGCCATGTAGACTTGGCAGCCTAGCCAGCCTCACCCATCGAAAAAGGCCATAGCAACTCCCCCCACTTTCTTCCTGCGTCTCCGCCGCCCTCCTCCAGGACAGGACTCTACCACCCCTTCCTCACCCTCGAGCTGCCTGTGGGACTCTGGAAAGGTTACAGCGATCCCCCTGCTCACACCTCCGGCCCTGCCCCAAACCAGGGCGAAGGGTGCATCCACTCCACTCATTCTCTCAGCTCTCCCCAATTCTCTAGAGACCCTTCCTCTGGCCTCACCGGGAGCCCCGGAATTTCTTCCCCAACTGGCATGCTCGGCTCCCCACCACCGGAACCGGTTCCCTCCCATCCCCCGCCGCCCCTCTCCCCACCCCCACAATCCCCCCTGCGCCTGGCCAGGTGTTCTTTAGAACCCTCTTTGCCACACGGAAGGCAATCCTACCGCGAGCCTATCCCCGTGGGTTCAACCCCTCCGAGCCCCTGTTTTCACCGATTCAGATTTGTGGGGTCATCCCCTCTCCATCCACAGAGCCCTTGTTGCAGCTTGATGAGTCTTCCGAGAACACCAACGTGGCCCTGTCCCAGAAGCCCTTACGTTGATCGGAACACGTACCTCTGTTACCCTATTCAGTATCCTTCGGCCTTGGTAACATACCCGGTGACTGGCCCCATAATTTCACCTTACCTTGCTCACCGGCCCATCGAATATAGACCAATAGTTTCCCCATCCCCTTCTCCCAGGGTTTTGGGGATCTCACAGATCTCGCCCCTGTGCCCCGCCTGGTCCTCTGGGAAAAGTTATAATGATTCTCTTTCTTCAGCATGTTCCCCACCCACTGGCCAGCGTTACCTAGGTCGTCGTAAGCCTCCAGACTCTTGTAAACCTCAACCCCAGCATGACCCACCCCTTGAGAAAAATTATTGTAGCTCCCTATTTTCTCAGGCAAATGTGCCTGGCTGTCTTCGCTCACCTCAAGAGGACTCACATCACTTTTCCCGTCTTTCCCCAGAGGCCCACGAATCTACCCCCAGGAGCCCTAATTGTGGCAACCATTTACCAGCTGGGATTATTGATTCTTGCTCACTCCAGCCCCAGGCTTCCAGGAAGCCTTGTTTAGAATCTTGGGAGACTAATGGGAACTCGTTCCTTATTTCTGGCACCCCGATTTCTGGTTCCCCCTGTTCCCAGGAACCACCTCTTCCCCTGTCCACGCAGCATCCTAATTCTGCCTTCTTTTTCCCTTCATCTCTGGGCAACCAGTTTACATCTCCACCTCAGTCACCTCCCCGGAGAAGCTATAATGAACCCTCTCTCCTTACCCAAGTTTGTCCCCAAGTGAAGTCCACCAGATCTCCAGAGTTAAAACAGCCATATGCTCCCTACAGCCCTGCCCAAGACCCTCCCTCTGATCAGCCCAAGCCCCCTAAGGATAGCGCCTCTCCTCCACTTCCCTCCCATCCTTTTGGTCTCTCTGATCCTTGTTCCACTGCAACTTGTTCAAATTCCTGCCCACAAACACGTCCCCAAGGGACTGTCTTACCTACTCTGGTCCCTAGAACCCTAAAAACTGTTAACCCCACTTCACTTCCCCCCTGCCTTCTTTGTGATCCTCTCTTACCTCATGTTCAGAGCCACCACCATGGACCTCCTGTGGGAGCCTCTTGCAATACCCATATATATTCTGTGGTTCCCTCCACCCCTAATCCCTGCCCACTCTCTGGTTCCACTAATCCCCCTCAGTGCTATAACCAGCCCATGGTGCCTCCTTGTGGCACTTATGGCACTCCCAGAGGCCCACCCCAACCCCCTCGACAGCCTGTAGGACCTCCATGTTCTACCCACATCTATTCATATATCCCTTTAAGAACACCTTTTGACCCCCATAGTTTACCCATTGCCCCCCGACCCTGCAGCCACCCTGATACTATGCCCTGTGGCTTCCACGTCTACTCTGTGGCTCCTCAAGGCCCTCCCAAAGAGGCCCCCCGGATACCCTACAGCTCTCCATTGATTTCACCCACGAGTTCTAGCTGTAGCAACATTCCCCACAGTAGTTCAACTGTTATAATTACTGAATGCCAGAGTAGTGACAACCAGAGCAAGAATATCCACCAAAGCAGAAGTCAATGTGAGAATCAGAACCATCCTAGCAGAAGTCGGAGTAAAAGCAAGTGTTGCCATGTTAGCAGATATCAAAGCCAGACCAATTGCTCCCACCACAGTTTGAATGAGGATCAGGGTGAGAATTGTCAACTTCATATATTTCAGAGACAGAGTAAGAGTCCCCAATATAGAAAAAGCCAAGGTCCAAATAAGAGTTCCCTCCATAGCAAAAGTTTAAGCCAAAACAAGAGTTCCCAGCAACTCAAAAGGTACTGCAAGCGCAAAAGCTCCCATCAAGGCAATAGCCGAAGCAAGAGTCCCCAAAAGGATAAGAAATGAGAGCCAAGATCAAGAGTTCTGAAATCCAGACCAAAGCAAAATTCACAGACAGGAACAGGACTGCCAAACCATAGTAAACACTCAGCCGTGGCAATCTGGACCAACTTATGGACTTCTCAGTTGATACCTTCATTTTCCTTTGAATCTACTTTTATGCTCGTCAAGCCTGACTGATGTCCCTCTCTGCTACTCCCATAGAAGTCATCCTAGAAGTTCCCAGTTTGCTTTGAACCCCAAAGTCTCTATGAACTCTCCTTGTCCTATGCTTTCTGGGGTCTGGAAACTCTCCAAAATTACCCTCCACCCTTTAATCGCATTATGGTTTTTGCCACTGCATAACCTTAGGTAAGTTACCCTTATCTCCATCAAATGTGGAAAATTGATATTTTTTGTATCCCACTGAACTATTTATTGTGGTGCTCACATAAGCTAAGAGACATGAAAGTGCTTTAGGAAATTGATGGGCTTTTCAGCCTGATACTTCCGATAAGGGCTCTGTAGTTTCTTCCAGTCTTCTGTAGATTTTCCTCGAGTCCTCTTCTGAGCACTCATTCTCTTAAGGTCCTCTTACTCCAAGGCCTGGAAGATTGCCCCTTTCTTGGTGACCCCCATATGCTATTGCGAGAACTACAGCTTCCTTTCTCTCACACCCCTGAGACAGATAGATCAGCTCCTTAGTACTTTTCTCTCCCACACTTCTCTGGCTGGCCAAGGAAGGGTCCAAAGGCAGGAGTGGGCACTAACTGGATCCACATTAGCTTTAGAGATCTGATATATTGCTGGGGTCGGGCAGTAGGGGATAGAGACAAAACTAGAAGACAGATAAGCATGTTCTTTCCCTTGTAGGCTGCCACAGAGCCCAAATTTCCTGCCACTCGCCTGGCTCTGCAGAATTTTGACATGACCTACAGTGTGCAGTTTGGAGATCTTTGGCCATCGATCCGGGTCAGTCTTCTCTCAGAGCAGAAGTATGGTGCACTCGTCAATAACTTTGCTGCCTGCGATCATGTGAGTGCTGAACTGGAGCAGATGCATGCCAGAGACTTTGTGAAAAAAGCCCACTCCCATGGGGAACTGGAGCCTGAGAGTGGCCAAACGGCAGCTCCATCCCCAACTTCCTGGGCCTGCAGTCCAAACCTTCGATGCTTCACTTTCACCAGAGGGGATGTCAGCCGTTTCCCTCCTGCCAGGTAGTATCTGGAGCCATGGCTGGGGCTGCCTTGAGTGTCTGCTAGAAGTAAACAGGAAGAGACCCAGCTCCTGCCTTCTTTAATAGAGATCATAATATTGCTAATATTTACTGAGTGCTTATACATGTTAGCCTTTTTTCTAAGTGCTGCACATATATTATCTCTTTTTATCTGTTAACAGCCCTCAAAGAAAGGTAATATTATTTTCCTGCTTTACATTTGAGGAAACAGGTGCGGAGAAGTTGAAGTCCTTATTTGCTTTAGGTCCCTTAGGTAGGTTAAGTGGTACAACAGATAGATTCTGGTGGTCTGACACCAGAACCTGGACTTTGAACTTACTCTGATCTACTGCCTCCTACAGAAAACAACCACCTCTGACTTGAGCATTTACTACATCCTCTCCAGTTAAAATTTGTGTTATTTATAGCTGTTTTCTTATAACCACCCATTCTTATAACCAAGTGAATAGGACAAGTATTAATAGTAACCTCGTGGTACCAAAGAAGAAGAGGGACTTGCCCAGGAAACAGAGCTTGCACAAAGTTAGTACACCAGGAAAAAGAAAGGAAAACTTCTGGTTTTCTGATCCAGTGCCCAAATATATATGGAGTTGAATGGAAAAGAAACTAATCAAATGCTAAATTGTGCTTTACAAATTGAGAAAAGAACAGATTAGGGTTAGTTGTAGAATGTGGAATTGATCTTTGAAGGATTGATGCATTCAGTCAACAAATTTTTATTGTATACCAAATGCCAGACATTCTTTTTTTCCTTTTTCTTTTTTCTTCGTTTTTACAAACCCTTATGTCGAGGGCTGACTTTCAGTAGATCGCAGTGAGGGAGCTGGTCTGCTACATACAAAGCCCTAACCCAGAAGCAGGTTGTCTCAGGCATTCTTAAGTCTCTGAGTTTTGGATGCACAAGCCCTCATGGAGCTTACAGTCTAGTGAGGAAAACAGCTCCTAAAACCCTATGGCCCTGGCCAGGTAGCTCAGTTGGTTAGAGTGTCATCCCAATATGCCAAGATTGCGGGTTCGATCCCGTCGGGGCACATACAAGAATCAACCAATGAATTGGTAAATAAGCAGAACAACAAATTGATGTTTGTCTCAAATCAGTCAATAAAGAAAAACAGAAAATAAAAGTAAATTTAAAAAAACACTATGATTTTGATAAGTACTACAAAGGAAAACTGCAAGATGCTGTAATTAGGAGATATTACCCAGTCTTTTCTGAGGGTGTGAAATTTAAGTTAAAACCTGAAAACAGTAGGAATCAAAACTGGTAACATGGGTAAAAGTCTAAATATGAGGCTACTGCAGCAGGCAAGAACCAGATTATAAAGGTATCATACTGGATTTTGGACTTTTTCTCTAAGGGAACTAGGAAAAGTTTTAAGCTGATGAATAACATGATCATATTTGAAATTTTTTTCTTTTTTTTATTAATGTATTATATGTGTACATATCTTTCCATTGACCATATTTGAATTTTTAAAATATCATTTTGGCTACTGTGTGGGTAACATTGGAGAGGGGCAAGGCTAGAAATGGGAATGTAAATTAGGAGGCTTTTGCAATAGGCCTATCAACTGGCTTGAAGGAAGCCTGTATGCTTAAGAGTAGTAAGAGCTTGGCCAGCATGGCTCAATGGTTGAGCATTGACCTAAGAACCAAGAGGTGACAATTTAATTCCTGGTCAAGGCCATGCCTAGGTTGTGGGCTCAAAGCCCAATGTGGGGTGTGCAGGAGGCAGCTGGTCAATGATTCTTTCTCATCATTGATATTTCTGTCTCTCCCTCTCTCTTCCTCTCTGAAATCAAATATTTTTTTAAGAAAAGAGTAGTATGAGGCTGGAAAAACATATGGAGGCCATATGTGAGAATCTTGAATGTCAGAAGCTTGTAGGTTTAGGGAAAGGGAATTTTTTTCTGGTAGCTCAGTGTTGCTGAAATTGCCAGGGCTGGGTGGCTTCATACTATGTACCCTTTAGTACATACTGCTGTAAATTGCCAAGATCTGTTTTAGATAACCACTGGAAAGGGTTTCTGAGTAGAGGGGAGGAATAATGCACAGAATGGGCTTTGGAGTCAAAAAAAACCTACATTTGCCTCCAGCCTTCATCACTTATGAGACATGTGGCATTGAATAAGTAGAGTTCACTATGTGCCAGCTGCTTTTCTAAGCATTTGACATATATTAATTTCTTTACTCCTTACAATAATTTTATCTGGTATTGTTTTTATAGATGAGGATATTGAGGCACAGACAAGTTTAGTGTTTGTTGAAGGCTACACAGCTAATGAGCAACTGGACTGGATTTGAGATCCAGGCAGACTGGCTCTCAAATTTGGGTTCTCATAGGGTTGTGTTGAGGATTCAATGAAATTATACTAGGTGTACCAGTTAATAATGCGGATTTTTTTCAATAGATGAAGTTACACGTATGTTGATATATATGCGATTTGATATGTATGCTATTTTATTGTATTGACAACAAGCTTCAAAACTTCATATGTCAAATTTGCTGAAGGTGTTAACAGCATAGATACTTTACACTTAAAAATGTTGAATTTCATGCCAAAAAAAAGATTTGTGGGAAGTTTTAATTCATTACTTTATTTTGAAGAAAAGTACTGCTGAAAGTTATTATATACTTCGGGAAGCTTATGGTGAACGTGCTCCATCTCAAGGTACTTGTGAACACTGGTTTAAATGTTTTAAAAGTGACGCTTTCAATGTGAAAGACAAAGAACGTCCAGGTCAACCAAAAAAGTTTGAAGATCAACAGTTATAAGCATTACTGGATGAAGATGCATGTCAAACTCAAAACAACTCGCAGAAAGATTAAATGTTGCTGAGAAAACAATTTCCAATTATTTACAAGCAATGGGAAGGATTTTAAAGGAAGGAAAATAGGTGCCTCATCAACTGAATTTTAGACAAATGGAAAACCGAATAGTCATCAGTAATGTTACTTCAACGGCATGAAAGAATTTTCTGCATCAAATTGTGACTGGTGATGAAAAGTGGATTTATTTTGAGAATCCCAAATGCACAAAATCATGAGTTAATCCAAGTCAAACATCAACATCAACTATAAGACCAAATTGCTTCGGAAAGAAGACAGTGTTCTGCGTTGGTTGGGATGAGGGGGGTGTGGTGTATTATGAGCTAAAACCACGTGAAACCATTAATACTGATCGCTACCAGCAACAAATAATCAATTTGAACCACACTTTGATCATGAAACAACCAAAATGGGCCAGAAGACATGGCAAAGTAATTTTGCTTAGTGGTAATGCACCATCACACACTTCAAAACCAGTTTGAGACACGTTAAAAGATCTTGCCTGGGAATTATTAATCCACCCGCTGTATTCACCAGACTTTGCTCCTTCAGATTACCACTTGTTCTGATCGATGACACACGCACTTTCTGAGCAGCACTTCAAAATGTACAAAGAAGTTGAATATTGGGTCTCTGAATGGTTTGCCTCAAAACAAGAAAAGTTGTCCACAAATTACCTGAAAGATGGGGAAATGTGTAGCTAGTGATGGACATTACTTTGAATAAAGCACTTTTGATGTTTCTCTTGAAATTATCATGTTTTGTTTTTTTTTATTACAAAATCCTCATTATGAACTGGTACACCTAGTACATGTTAAGCACCTAGTATAATACCTTCAATATAACCCTCATAAGTACTATATCTTACTATTGACATATTCTCATCAAAGCTATGCTTCAGGAAGATTATTTTATTATTATTATTATTTTAAAGTGACAGTTTATTTTACATTTTTATTCCTCACCCAAGAATATTTTACCATTGATTTTTTTTTAGAGAGAGTGGAAGAAAGAGGAAAAGATAGAAACATTGATGTGAGAGAAACACATGGATTAGTTGCCTCTTGCATGTGCCTTGCCCCACCCGAATCCGAGCTGGGGAGGAGCCTGCAACCGAGGTATGTGCCCTTGACTGGAATTGAACCCAGGACTCTTTGGTCCAAAGGCTGATGTTCTATCCACTGAGCCAAACTGTCTAGGGCTTCAGGAATATCATTAGTCACTGTGGTGGTGAGAACATAGATTGGAGTAGGTTTAGAGACCAATTTGGAGGCATTAGCTTTAGGCAGAACCATGGAGTAAATAAGAACCATGTAGTTTCCTAAGGTGTAATTTCTGAGGTGCTGGGCGCCACTGAGGAAAGACACTTTGAGAGGAGTTGGGATTTTTTCCCTTCTTGTGTTAATGGGCTCCCTGTAAATCAAGGGAATCTTAACTTCTAAGGAGTTCAAAGGTGTATTCAGGAAAATTATCTGAAAAGTTGTACTTTTTTTGAAAAGCCATTGTATCTTTTAGCAGATTCTCAAAATTATCTGTGAACTAAAAAGGTTAAGGAGTGGTCCTTTTAAAGGAAGGAACTTGAGGAGAGTGGGTTTTGTGGACCAGTGCTGGTGTGTAGCAATTCTGTGCTTTTCTTTTTTTTTTCTTTTTTTTTAAATATATTTTATTGATTTTACAGAGAGGAAGGGAAAGAAACAGAGAGCTAGAAATGTAGATGAGAGAGAAACATCGACCAGCTGCCTCCTGCACACCCCCTACCGGGGATGTGGCCGCAACCAACGTACATGCCCCTGACCAGAATCGAACCCGGGACCTTTCAGTCCGCAGACCGACGCTCTACCATTGAGCCAAACCGGTTTCGGCAGCAATTCTGTGCTTTTCTCAGATAATTTAATTTTCTTCTCATTCTCCTTTGTGAGGAATGAGGTATCGGGTCTAGTAATAATTAATGTCGTTTTTAAACATTCGTTTAAAATCTTGCTTGGCGTTGACTTGTATTGACATAACTTTCAAACACATGGTATCTACAGAACGTGTGAAGTGCAATTAACAAGTTTTGCTTGAAAAAGTTTGTGTTTGGTTTGGTCTTTGTTGCAAAACTGGGGCTAAGAAGATGGCGGATGAAGAGCATATTCGGCACTGCATGCTTTACGAGTTCCAATTAGGAAGAAAAGCAAGTGAGGCTGCAAAAAACATCTGTAGTGCTCTTGGTCAAGATGCAGTTAGCGCCAGAAAATGCCAGCGTTGGTTTGAGAAATTTCGTGAGGGAAATTTTTCATTAGATGACAAGAGTGGTCGAGGCCGTGTGTCCAATTTTGATCAAGAAGCTCTTCAAGCTCTTTTGGTGCAAAATCCTCAAATTACCCAACAAGAGCTTGCAACAACTTTAAATTGTTCACAAAAAACAATTTCCAATCAATTGCGTGCACTTGGCAAAGTCCAAAAGTTTGGAAAATGGGTTCCTCATGAGTTGACCGACAACAACCGTAATTAAAGAGTCACAATTTGCAGTTCGCTCCTCTCTCGTCAAAACCGTTTGCCGTTTTTAGAGCAAATTGTTACCGGAGATGAACAATGGGTGCTGTATGTTAATTTGAAAAGGCGGCCTCAATGGTTGGACAATAATGAGGCTCCACAGCCCACGCCAAAACCTGACTTGCATGCGAAAAAAGTGATGTTGTGTGTTTGGTGGAATTTTAAAGGAATTCTTCATTATGAACTTTTACCATCTAACCAAACCATTACAAGTGCAGTGTATAGTGCCCAATTGGAAAGGTTAGCCCAAGCTTTAAGAGAAAAAGAACCCGCGCTGATTAATCGGAAGGGCGTAATTCACCACGATAACGCACGACTGCATACTGCAAGAATCACTGCTGAAAAACTGCGCCAGTTGGAATGGGAAGTTCTCCCTCAACCTGCATATTCTGATATTGCCCCTTCTGATTACCATTTGTTTCGTTCTTTGCAAAACTTTCTTCTTGGAAAAACATTTAATAATGAAGAATGCCTCAAAAATGCATTGACCGAATATTTTGCATCAAAATCACAAGAATTTTACAACAGAGGGATTAAAATGCTTCCTGAGCGTTGGGCACAAGTAGTAGAAAACCACGGCAACTATATTGTTGATTAAATTTTGTTGTATTGTTTAAATAAATTCGATTTAAAAAAGTATTAGAAAACGACATTAATTATTACTAGACCTAATATACAGTTTCACAGACAGTCCAAGCATGATTTAACTTTTAAAATATCCCATCATTGCCAGTCAAGGGCATATGCCTGGGTTGTGGGCTCGATCCTCAATGGGAGGTGAAAGGGCATTGTAGGAGGCTGACAATCAATGATTCTCTCATCATTGATGTTTCTATCTCTCTCTCCCTCTGTCTTCCTCTCTGTATCAATAAAAATATATTTTTTAAAATCCCGTCATAGCTTGAGCCTGAATGTGGGGGGTGTCACAATTTCATCACAGGGCATTTGTAACTCTTGTAGCTTACTCTCAGTGGTGCTACCTGTGTCTTATGTCTTGCTATCTATTTCTCCCAGAGCCTTCCTGTCGGGGCACCAGGACCAGGTTTCTGTCTCCTTGAGTCTGTTCCCAGTGGCTGTCATGCTGAGCTGTGTCTCAGGCAGGGGAATGGGGAATGGTTGTACCACCTTATGCCAACTGGCCTGGGAGTGAGAAGTCCTTTTGTGACTGTTGGATAGTTGTCTTTTGTCCCTTTTTACCAACACCATTGCTGCCTCTCTTCATGCCTTGTTGGCTCTCACTTGGATTCTTATAATAGCGTTTTCACTAACATTTCTAATTTGTTCTTTCTAGCCCATCTCGCTTCCTAAAACTCTATGTAGATGATCAGAACACATACTTTTCCTTAAGCTTTTGGTATCTGCTTACAATTGTAGTCCAAACTCGTTAGCAAAGGATTTAAGACCTTTTCCAACCTAGCTTCCATCTGCTTTCCAATCTCAGTATCATTTACCTTGTATTTCTACTATACCAGATTATCAGATTATTGCTGCTTCTGAAAGAAGCTATGAGTTTGCATGCTTCTTTTCCTTTGTATCTTCATTTTTATTCTGCTTTTTTTTTTTAATTATGGTTACTTTTAATTTTTAATTTATTGAGGTGACATTGGTTAATAAAATTACATAGGCTTCAGGTGTACAATTCTATAATACATCATCTGTATATTGTGCGCTTGTCACTCCAAGTCAAATCCCCTTCCATCGTCTTTCCTTTATTTTGTTAGATTTTTTTACCTGATGAAGGATAGGCCTTCATCAAGCCTAACTCCAACAGGCACAAGTGATGGCACTCTTCTCTAAGCCATCTCAGTATGTAACTCAATAAAACTGGGTTCCTACTATAGCACTGTTTCAGTTTATGATAAACAAACTAGGCAAAATTCCTTCCCTCATTCTAATAGGAAAGGATAGAGGGGAAACACACACACACACACACACACACACACACACACACACACATCTTTATATATAAAGTGAATAGTAAGTGTTTTAAAGAAAACAAGATAGAGAGCTAGAAGGTGATGGGAGTAAGTGGCTTCTATTTTTAGATAAAGTGGTCAGGGAATGCCAGTGCCTTTTTTTTTTTCCCCCCCTCTTGTTGAAGAGAAAAGGTTTTTTTGTTTGTTTGTTTGTTTTTAATCAATCTTTATTGTTCATATTATTACAAAGGTTCCTCATTTCTTCCCCCCACCAGGTTCCCACCCCACCCTCCGCCCCCTTCCCATCCCCCATTGTCCTCATCCATAGGTGCACAGTTTATGTTCAGTCTCTTCCTCCCTCCCTTTCCCCGATAGTAAATCCCTTTTCAGATAGTAAATCAGTTACTTAGCATTTTCTCATATCAGTAATACCTCCACATGCCCAATGATACACTTCACACAAAAGACATTTCCAAATAGGTCAACCAGCCTCATCCAGGCCCCACCCAAGGCACTCACAAATCAACACCCCAGCACTATACTAACTCAACACATCCAGTTCTAAGCCTTCATCACTTGATTCAGCAGACCCTCAAGTTCCCGCAAAAGTTTCCAGCCATGTCTGAGAGGCAGCCGTGGGGCAGGGGCAGGTGAGGAGCGAGCTGTTCCGGGCCTGGCTGCTCCGGGACTGGCCTCTGTTGCTCTGGTTTGTTCCACAACCAGCTGCTCCGGGTCTGGTCACTGCCGCTCCCAACCTAGTTGCTCTGGACTTGGCTGCTGCTGCTCCGGGCCTGGCCGCACCCAACCCGGCTGCTCCGGGCCCTGCTGCTCCGGGCCTGGCCGCTCCCAGCCTGGCAGCCGCTGCTTCAGGCTTGGCCACTCCCAGCCTGGCAGCTGCTGCTCCGGGCCTGGCCGCACCAGACCCGGCTGCTTCGGGCCTGGCCGCTCCCAGCCTGGCAGCTGCTGCTCTGGGCCTGGCCACACCAGACCCGGCTGCTCTGGGCCTAGCTGCTCCCAGCCTGGCAGCTGCTGCTCCGGACCAGTGCCTTTTGATGAAGTAATTTGTGAGGAGAGGTCTAGAGAAGTGAGGAAACAAATGAGGGATATTTGGGAGTATTGCAAGTAGAAGATACAGCAACAAAAAGTCTGAGCCAGGAGCAGGCATGGCTTAATTAAATAGAAAGATGGCTAGTGGGGCTTGATTAGAGTGGATTGAACTTGCTTTAAAAGGCTTACTCTGGCTTCTTTGTAGATGAGTGGGTGAGTGAGTAAATAAGTGAGTGTGGGTCTGAGAAATGAGTTGTTGCTGAGTAGAGCTTAAAAACCCCTGAGGATGTGGACTTAGTGGACTTGGTGACCTTGATTCCCATTGGATCTTCTGACTTGGAATTTGACAATAAGTCGCTCTTCTCTCTTCCAGGCGTGGCAGCTTCGGTGTCATGGACTACTACCTGATGGATGCTGCCTCCTTGCTGCCTGTCCTTGCTCTTGGCCTGCAGCCCGGCGACACAGTGCTTGACTTATGTGCAGCCCCCGGGGGAAAGACACTAGCATTGCTTCAGACTGGCTGTTGCCGTAAGTCAGAGGGCTGGTGTCTTGGGCAGGGAGGGCTCTCTACTTCACCCAGTCAGGGGCACACTGAATATGATGTCTTTGGTCCTAAGATCAGAAGGGGGATAGTGCTTGCTGGTGTATTTTTTCTGATTATTTTCTCTATTTCTCTGTCAGTTGGCCAAGGAAGATTGCCAAGCAGAGCAAGGCCTCTGAAGGCAGATTAAAGTAATGTCCTAGTCAATCTACCATATGATACTTTCACTCCCTATTTACTTCATCTCTAAGACTAAGTTGCCAGCTAAAGCAATAAGATCTGGCTGCAGAGAACTTTTATAGCAGGGGTGGAAAACCTTTTTTCTGCCAAGGGCCACTTGGATATTTATAACATCATTGGCGGGCCATACAGAATTATCACCTTAAAAATTAGCCTGCTATAATATATTTGGGCAAACATTTAATTTCCTCACCCCTAATGCCTTAGAACAGCCAGACCAAATGATTTCATGGGCCTTATAGGCCTATGGGACGTTCCCTACCCCTGCTTTATAGGTTTATGTTATTCTTCCCCAGGCTTTATGTGCTTCAGCCATATCCTGCTACTCTCTGTTGTCCAAATTAGCCTCCCCGCTTTGTTCATGTTGTTTTCTCTCTAGAAAACACCTTCCCAATTCCTTTTAACTTTCAAGCCTCAGCTCAAGTGTGCCACCTCCTGGAAGTCTTCCCTCATGGCCTCTACAGGCCAGTTTAGAAATGATGCTGTCTCCTATGTATCCAATCCTGGCCATCACCTTTGCACATTATTAGCCTTTCATCAGAGCTTTACCGAGTGTGCACCTTCTCATTCTTCAAGATTATTAACTCCTTGGAGACAGGACCAAGTCTTACCATTTTAGTAGTGTAGCCTAGGCTGGGCCTTGTGAACTCTTAAGTGTTTACTTCAGCCATTCATTGGCCTACATCCTGCCTTAATATCCATAAGGGTGCTGTGATTTTCGCATTCAGGCAGGCTTCTCTTGCAATATACCCTACCTTTTTGTTGAGCCTGGACCCTTCATTTCCAGTTCTCATCAGACAACTTGTACAGTTTGCATAGCTTCCAGCCTCATGGTAAGCCCCATGAATGATTCTAGAGAGGCACCACATTTGATCTCAGCTTTCTGAAGTCCAGAGGGAAAGGAGAAAAGATGTTGATATAACATAATAATGAGGTCAATGCCTGTGTGTTGAGCTGTGCTGATCTTACTGAGTGACGTGGAAATCCATCAGAAGAGGGATGAAACAAGTAGGGTTGCTTGGAAGAGGAGGAACTTGAACTAAGAGAAGCAAGAAGGGCCAAGGAAACATAATTGACAGTTGCTCTTCAGTGTGCTAAATTACCAACAATTCACCTTCATCCCAGCAACTCCTTGATCCCACAGAGAGACAGGAATTTTAGTGCCAGAAGGGAACTTAGAGTTTACCTAGTCCAGCCCTCTCCTATTTTATGGAGAGGGAAATTGAACCATAGAGAGATTAAATAACTTAAACCTTCTATATAAGTTGAAGGTAGAACCAGAATGGGACTCAGCTTTTCTGTTCTCAGTTCATATCCAACTGCAAATTCCTCTGGAACAGAGAATACAATTTTTACTTCTTGATGTTCTAAAACCACATTTCCTTGGTTTTGGTAGTGACCATTGTTTTATGGTAGTGACCTGTTTTATGGTAGTGACCATCCCCATTAGATAAAGTATGCACTCTCTAGTTCCCCTTCTCACAATTAAATTTATTGAGGTAACCTTGGTTAATACAGTATAGAAATTTTAGGTATATATTATACTTTTATATTTGTATACTCTATTGTGTGCTCACCACACAAAGTCTAGTTTCTTCTGTTGCCATACATTCACTCTCTAGTTCTTGACCACACTTACCACCTCCATTTCTCTTCTTGACTTAGCTATCAATTGCCATTTATCAGCAAGCTTGCAGTAATACTTTTTCTTACTGTAGAACCAAGAGCGAAGTGGAATGTTTATTGGACTTGTGTCTGTTACAGAAGGGAAAATGAAAGATAGATGGTGAATCATTTAGGATTAGGGTTGGTCATATACAATAGAAAACTCAACTAGCTTAATGAAGAAAAGTTTATTTCTGTCTTACATAAGAGAAGCTGGAATATAAGCAGTCCAGGGCTGAGATGTAGGCTCCACAGTCATCAGGGAGAGCCTATTTTATTGTTGCTTTAGCACCATTGCTTGTGGGATGTTGGGCCATGACCTCTGAAGTTCCTTTATTCCCACATGCATAAAATATCCGTACTATCAAAAGCCATCTATGGATGCAGTACAATCGCTATCAAGATTCTAATGGCATTTTTTACAGAAGTAAAAAAACATTCCTCAAATTTATGTTCCCACAGGCAATCTTGCTGCCAATGATCTCTCCACTTCCCGAACAGGCAGACTTCAGAATGTCCTTCATAGCTATGTACCTGAAGATATTAGGAATAAGAGTCGAGTTCGAGTCACCTCATGGGATGGCAGGAAGTGGGGAGAACTGGAGGGAGACACCTATGACCGGGTGAGTGATTCCTATCCTACGACATCCAGCCAGCCAAATCTGGCCTCCTCATCCTGACTCTAGGCCCTGGGCAGTAGGATTGAGCCCTACATGTTTGAGCATGTAAGGACTGTTTCTAGAGCTGGTCAGCTCTCCATGCATCTACAGAATTATCAGTTTAGCTTAGATGACTGGCTACTACTATCTTCATTAGAGACAGCAGCAAAAACAAGTTTGAACCTTTTCTTCATTAAGCTAGTTGAGTATAAAAATATATATATTAGGCTTACTTTATTTCTCATTTCTACTTGGTTGCTCAGAAACCCTTAAATTTCTTGCTTCCTTAGTACCGTGGTCACCAAATTGCAGCTCTAGAGCCACATGCGGCTCTTTGGCCCCTTGAGTGTGGCTCTTCCATGAAATACCACAGCCTGGGCGAGTCTATTTTGAAGAAGTGGTGTTAGAAGAAGTTTAAGTTTAAAAAATTTGGCTCTCAAAAGAAATTTCAATGGTTGTGCTGTTGATATTTGGCTCTGTTGACTAATGAGTTTGCCGACCACTGCCTTAGTAGATCTCTAATGATTTCAGATAGGTATTTTAAATATTTTATTAAGCATTTCTAGTTGTTCCAGCTAGAGGACTGATTTGCAACAAGCTATTCAGCCTTTACTAGGATTGAGAAGACCTGATTTTTTTTTTTTAGTAGCTTACGATATTCCCGAGTTAGTTATAGAGCCCTAGTTAATTATAGAGGATTTGCATTCCTCTAGAAAGAAACCTACATTTCCTTTCCTCAGGTGTTTGGAGGATCTGTTAACCCATGACCATTAATTCTGTGTGGGATTTTCTGGATCATGCAGCATTCTAGATTTGAACCTTCTATCTTAGTCATTAAAAATTCTCAGGGATATATTTTTTTTTTCTTTTTGCCCAGAGTTAAGCCAAAACAGACAAAGTATCTTGTCTATTGTGAACTGATTTTTTTTTTTTCTAGTTTATTCTTTGATTGACAGTGTAGCCCTTTGAGGATTTTGGCTTTGCTATGGATTTACATTCCAATTCTCTACTTCAAATGGGCCCAGTGCCCTGTTTTCTATTCTTTTTCTTCTCTTGGTGTGTGTGGGTGACTAGGGATCTGATAAAAGATAGAAGCCATTGGCTTCAGCTCTAGCATGCCTCCCTACATTTGTGCTCCTACATTTAAAAAATATATATTTTTATTGATTTCAGAGAGGAAGGAAGAGGGAGAGAGAGATAGAATCATTGATTGGCTGCTTCCTGCATGCCCCCCACTGGGGATCGAGCCTGAAACCTGGGCATGCACCCTTGACTGGAATCCAGTTTGAGATCCTTCAGTCTGCAGGCTGATGCTCTATCCACTGAGCCAAACCAGCTAGGGCCTACTTTTTTTACTTTTAAACTCTCACCCAAGGATATGTTTATTGAGTTTAGAGAGAGGAAGGAAGAGAGAAACACCAATATGAGAGAGAAACATCGATCGGTTGCCTCCTGTACATGCGCTGACCAGAATTGAAACAGAAACCTAGGTATGTGTCCTGACTCAGAATCAAACCTAGTGTACATGACAACACTCCAGCCAACTGAGCCACCCAGCCAGGACTATGATTCTACTTTTTCTTTGGCTTTTGAGGATTTCACTAATTTTATTTTTAATCCTCACCTGAGGCCTGAGAATATTTTTCCATTGATTTTTAGAGAAAGTGGAGGAAGTGGGGAAGGAATGAAAGAGAAACATTGATGTGAGAGAGACATATCAATTGGTTGCCTCCTGCAACTGAGGCTCCCTGTGCCTTTGACTGGGAATCAAACCTGTGACCCTTCAGTCTGAAGGCCAATGCTCTAACCACTGAGAAAAACTGCCAGGCTATTTTATCCACTCTTCAGGTGTTTTGTATTGCAAGGTTTTTAGGACATCTAGTTCACTACATTGCTGGAAGAAGAAGTTTTGTTTCTAAACTTCCCAGTGGCCCTTCTCTGGGCATCCTTATTAATATTTCTTTTTCCTGCGAAGGCCAGCATAGTTCTTGAGATACGGGACTCTATGTATTATGTCAATTCATGCAGCTTAGGAAAACATCTAAGTATTGAACAATGGGTCATTATTAATTTACTTGGAGTTTCTGTTTAGCTAAAAATGAACATACTTTTCCTAGATGATTTTACTTTTTTAAAATATAAACATAGGACAATTAAACATTTTTCTTTTTGTTTTTGGTGCCTTGCCCAGTGTAGGCTCTTAGGAAATGAATGATTTTTACATTTCTCACTTTAAAACTTTTCATATCAGATATGACACTGTTTTAGCATAAGATTTTATTTTTTAAAATTATTTATTGATTTTAGAGGGAGGGAGGGAGGGAGGGAGGGAGGGAGGGAGGGAGGGAGAAAGAAAGAAACATTGTTTGTTGTTCCAATTATTTATTCATTCACTGGTTGATTCTTATGTGTGCTCTGACTGGGGATTGAACCCACCACCTTGGTGAATTGGGATGACACTAACCAGCTGAGCTACCTGGCCAGGGTAGCATAAGATATTTTAAATCCTAATCCTGTTGAGTATATTAGTTACCCTCTGGACACTCTATGATCTGTAAATTAGATGATTTTATTCAAATAGCTAAGGACTGAACCAAGGACAGAGCTCTGAAGTACTAAAGACTTCTTATAGGTTGATATCAAGTATATAATTATAGCTATTTGTGTGTTGGTTTTAGTTTTTGTTTTTGTTTTTAACTAACTAGAAGTATACCTAAACATACTATTTTCCCACTCATTATTTCACAATTGCCTATTGTTGTTATTGGCAAACTGCAGCTCAAGAGTCACATGCGGCTCTTTGGCCCCTTAAGTGTGGCTCTTCCACAAAATACCATGGCCTGGGTGAGTCTATTTTGAAGAATTGGCGTTAGAAGTTTAAGTTTAAAAAATTTGGCTCTCAAAAGAAATTTTAATCATTGTACTGTTGATATTTGGCTCTGTTGATTAATGAGTTTGCCGCTAACTGGCCTATCGGGTTAAAATGAGTTTTGTCAGGTACTCTACAATGGAAGCATTGGCAGAGGGAGCACTCTACAAACCCCCCAGATCAGGGACCTAAAATAGCCTTGGCCTTAAGGAGCTTTAATACTTTATCCTTTAACACTGCTGGACAGGTGCTGGTGGATGTGCCCTGTACCACAGACCGCCACTCCCTTCATGAGGAGGAGAACAACATTTTTCAGCGCTCAAGAAAGAAGGAGCGGCAGAAGTTACCTATGCTGCAGGTGCAGCTTCTTGCGTGAGTGATAGATTTACATAAACCCAGGACTTTGTGCCAAAGTGTTGTGGGGGGGGGGGGGGGGTGGTCTGGTCACCTGGGGGACTGGAAGCTCTTTCCAAGACCATCACCCATAGAAGGATCTTGTGTCTAAGAACCTGTGGAGAAGACAGACATTAAGAGGATAACTTCTCTGGAACATAAAAACCTGTCCTAGGTAGTAGGACATGCATAGTATGGTAGGCTACATAGATTCACTTTCTGGTATGTCCACTTACCTCCATGCTAGTCCCAGTACAGTAAGTGTGCGGGCCAGCTCAACCAAGGTTTGGTGAGTCGGGGGTGGGGGTAGGGGAGGGGGGGCAGCAAAGGATGTGGAAAAGACAGACAAAGAGAATAAGCTGGATCTAGGTGTATCTTCCTGTGCTTGGCTGAGGCCACAGAGAGACCCGGATGGCTGGCTCTGCTTGAAGTTTCCCTGCCAAGGAGGCATTGGATTATTATCAGCATCAGTCTTGGAGCTTCATTCGTTTACCCAGTGCTTTCCTCTCCTGCCTCTTGGACATAGTCCAGGCTGCTTGTTTCCACTCCCTGTAGCCCTTTGGCTTTCATTTCTAGCATCTCTAAGTTGTTTTCCTACCTTCTCCCATGCCTCTACATTTACCTTTCCTTCCTCAGGAAACCATGGGCAGGTTTTACTTACAAAATCCAATAAATCAAAAAGCTGTTCATACTTCACAGAACAGCCCCGTGTTTGGAGCATAGCCTTAAGCATGGATACGTATAAATCCTTTCCTTGCCATCCTGAATTTCCCATGTTTTACACCTAGTTATTACTAAACTTCGCTCCTTACCTTCTTTTTTTTTGCTTTCTGCACATGCTTTATTAGAGCATCCTTTCACCTGACAACTGCAGTTCCCCCGAATTCAGGCCCCGCATTGGATGCCACATGTGCCGTACCAGCACATCCAAGGCTTCGGGGAGCCTGAGTGGGAGCAGCGAAGGATGTAGAAAAGACAGACTAAGAGAATAAGTTGGGTCTAGGTGGATCTTCCTGTGCCTGGCTGAAGCCACAGAGAGAGAGACCCACGCGGCAAGCTGAGCCTTTATTTTATAGTTAGAGGTAAACAAGATAGTGGTCACCATAGTTATTATACAATGTTCTTGTGAGTTTCACTTGTTTTGGCAGCACTTGCTACACCTCTTATAGCCCATTGGCTACTCAGGAAGGATCTAGGGAGTATCATAAGGTCAAGCTTATTTATGCTAAGAGGGCTGTGCCCTCTAACCTGCGACTTTCTTGTGGCTTTGCCAACATGTCAGTCCAAGGCTTAACCCTATAGCACTCCCTACAGTAAGTAGCTCAAGTTGGAAACATAGTTGCTGAGGTCAAGGTTCTCTAGGACTGGGGTAAGGACTCAATCCATAGCTAGCATCAGGGTTTGGTCATAATTAGAGCCACAGCTCGGGATCATTTCAAAAAGGCTTCGAGAAGAGAGCTCATGGAATAAGGTTGGGTTGCTCTCTGCCTTGAGAATGAGCTACCCATTCCACAGGAGACACCTCTATCTATGCTTCCAGCTCCTCTGTTGTCCTTCTACTTCTGGGAAGCTCACTAGTCACTGTTTTGTCTCTTTCTGGTTTCAGGGCTGGACTTCTTGCCACGAAACCAGGAGGCTATGTTATGTATTCCACCTGCTCACTCTCACACTTACAGAACGAGTATGTGGTTCAAGGTGCCATCGAACTCCTGGCTAATCAATATAACATCGAAGTTCGGGTAGAAGACCTAACTCCCTTCAGAAAGCTTTTCATGGACACGTTCTTTTTTTTCCCATCCTGCCAGGTTGGGGAGCTGGTAATCCCAAACCTCATGGCCAATTTTGGGCCTATGTACTTTTGCAAAATGTGTAGACTGACATAGCATCACCCCGTTCCTGGAGCCCTGGTGTGTGAAGACAAAGGATATACTCCCAAGGAGTCATTGGAAACTGAGACCATTGGCAAAGAAACACTCTGGGTCCCATCTCCATCATGTTTAAGTCTTTCTATACGTAGTTTTTATCAATAGGAAGTAAGAGTTTTTCTGTCCTGCTGTTCAATTGTGGAGCATCAGCAGGTTTCTAACTCACTTATTATACTCCATCTCCCACTTTCCATCTCTAAGCCTATACTAAATGTTCCTGCTCCATTGGGGGCTTAGGAGGAGGAGCCAGTGAGCAGGCCCACAGTTTAAACTGTAAACTGGGGAAGAAGCATTTAGTCAGTAAAATTGTTGAAGCTCCAAAGAGCTGAGGCTGTGATTGGGGGCCTCATATTAGTCCAAGTACTGTTAGTTCTACTTGTCCCAACTGCTGCTACTGAGCACTAGCTCCTAGTTGGCTCAATGTCTGTTTACAGGCCCCTGGTTACAGAGCCCCTTACACTTGAGATGAGTGTAAGGTCTGCATGATCAGTCTTAAGCAGTCAGCGGGCCAAAACAAGTTTCTCCATATGGCTATGATCTTATGTAAGAAACAAATAACTAAAAATGTTAAGCCAATGCAGTCTGCTTATTTATAATACATTGAGAAAGCTCTCCTAAGCTAATAATTCCAGCTATTCCTCCTGCTGCCCAATTGTGACTGGGGAAGTTGCTTTGTCACAGGGTTGTGTTACTCTTTTGTGTGTGTCTTCTATTGTTCATTTCTTTAGCAAGTATATCTTGAGCTCATGTATGACAGGTAGCCAGGGAGCTGCTGGAGATGTAGTAATTGGGATTGTGGGGGATATTGAGGCCTCATCCTTGAGAATGGCAGTGCTCCTCCTTTGCTTTCTGACCACCTAGGAATCTCCTAATGTCTTATTATGTTCTGGGGGTTTTTTTCCCCTTGTTCCTTGTCTTTTGCTGTGCTGTGCTGCCATTTGTTTGACCCATCCCAAATCACTCAGGAGTTCTTTCTCCAGCATCTTAGGGCCTCACCTCATACAGTGTGCTTACTATTTGCATGTCAATTATGTTATTACTAGAGGCTCTGTGCACAAAATTCATGCACTCAGAGGGGAGAATCCCTCAGCCCGGACCGTACTCTCTTGCAGTTCGGGAGCTCTCAGAGGTTGCCCAACTGATGCGTCGGAGGCGGAAGAGGCTCTCACCACTGCTGCTGCACTAGCCAGTCATGAGCCTGGCTTCTGGCTGAGTGGCACTCCCTCTGTGGGAACACACTGACCACCAGGGAACAGTTCCTGCATTAAGCATCTGCCCCTGAGGGATCAGTGCATGTCATAGCAACCGGTTGTTATGCTGTTTGGTCTATTTGCATATTAGCCTTTTATTATATAGGATTCTAACTATTTAGCACAAATAAGGCATATCTTAATGACAGGGATATTAAAAATGGTTTGTGGTCACATGTAGTTATTTGTTTTTTAATTAAAATGTTTTTCTGAAATACTGGTCCTTGTGCAGAAGAGGTGCATACTTTTAGAATACTGGTATTCTTAGTTCTTCCCAATAATCCTTTCTTTTCCTATTTTATCACTCTATTTGCTCTTTTATGCCTTTCCTGCTAGTCCTTATTTGGATTTAGAGATACTAGCTGAGAAAGATTTTAGATGAGGTTAAGCCTTCTCCTTTCTTGGGATTTGCATTATAACTGAGGTCCCTGGAAGACCTTCCAGACTCAAAATCCTAGTGAATCTAGGAAGATGGATCTCTAGGGAGTAGGATCTTAATTAGCATCTTGTGTGGTATGTGCTCCCTGCCTGTTTACTCAGATGCCTGGGCTTCTGCCCTTGGTCTCCTGGGGGTGCAAGCTGTCCTAGTTGAAAGCAAAGCAGTGATAATTCAAGATGAGAAGGTCTTCTGCCCTTAGAGTGCAAGTCTAATTGGAGACAGAAATACCCAGGTAAGAAAAGCAGAGAAGTACTTTTAAAAAAGAATTTATCTCCTGTAATTGAATAGTAATTTACTCTACAACCCAGTTATTCCAGACTTGGGATAAATCCAAGAGAAATTAATACATGTACACTGGGAGACATGTACAAGAATGTTTATAGCAGCCCTCATCTCAGAAAATAACCCAAATGCCCATGAACAAGAGTAGACAAATAAACTGGAATATTCACATAATAGAATATTACACAGCTGTCAAAACAAATGAACTATAGTGAAATATAGCATGGATGAATCTTAGCAATAAAATATTAAAAAATCTAGTCCCAAAAGATTAAATATAGTTTGGTGCCCTTTAAAAAGTAACATGATGCCCTTATTTAAGTTATTTACATACAATATAATTTATTAACAAGTTAACTGCCACTCGTCCAAAACGGAAACCATCCCCACACTCCATGATATTTTGAATTTAATTTTAAAAAATCAATTTGCAATAAATATTGTAAAAATAAATATGTTAAAATTTGGGTGTTATTGAATATTTTCAGTTGGAAATTCTCAAGAAAAAATTATTTTAAAGTTGGCCTTTAGATGCTTATGGCAGCAAAATAGTTAATTTTAAATGTATTGCTTATATTTTTAATTGATTTTTTTACAGAGAGGAAGGGAGAGGGATAGAGAGTTAGAAACATCGATGAAAGAGAATCATCAATCAGCTGCCTCTTGCACACGCCCTACTGGGGATGTGCCTGCAACCAAGGTACATGCCCTTGACCGGAATCGAACCTGGGACCTTTCAGTCTGCAGTCCGATGCTCTAGCCACTGAGCCAAACCGGTTTCGGCTGGATATCTGTTTTTTTATTCTTGGCCACGGTAAGGGCACTGGTCTAACTGGTTACATATGCATGGCTTGATTACATGGCCAGAATAACATGAAAGCCCTGCTGGGAACTTCCACCTTGAACTCTCCCAAAGTCAAGAATCACAAATTATGGTGATTCAGTCCAAAGATAATGTTTTACTTCATATCTTTACATAAAACTTGGCATTGTAAGTTTTAAACTTTATTCTAGAGCTAAAAGCCCAGTCTGCCCCCTCTCACAGTGTGGGAACCCTCAGGGGTGGGAGGTGACCCAGCGATTAAGAGAAGGTGATGCCCCATCACACCACTGCTGCTGCCACTGCTGGTAGTGCAAGCCTTGACCAGTCCTGATTACCTGCACCTTGGGCAGGTCTTGGGTGGTTGGGCTGCTGACATCTGAGGCTTGCCTGCACCTTGGGCCAGTCCTGGGGGCTGAGGGGATTGGGGAACTTTGGAGTCAGGTGCTCCGGGAGAGCTGAGGTGACTGGGGATCACCATCTTGTGGCTGTTGGTGCTGCCATATGTGAGGATGGAGCAGCCAATTAGCATATTCCCTCATTGGCTGTGGGTGCCGCCATCTTTGCAAAGGTGTGAGGGACAATTAGTATATTCCCTCTATTAGATAGGATGAGAGTGGGGAACCTTTATTCTCCCAAGGGCCATTTGGATATTTATAACATCATTTATCAACTTAAAATTATCAACTTAAAAATTAGCCTACTAGAAGGGACAGGGGCAAGGTGCAGCAGAGCTGAGGGTTGGCAAGATTGTGCAGTGGCCCAGACTCAGCCTAGTGTTAGGTCTGGTGAGCTACACCTTTCTAATAGTGAATAGGCTGTATTCTTCTAGTGATGATGTAATTGAATTAACTCCATCATATGTCAACCAAGAAGTTATTTGAAGTAATAGTTTGTGGCTTGTAGAATTCTTTGCTCCATGGTGTGGCCACTGCCAATGGTTAACACCAGAATGGAAGAAAGTAGCAACTGCTTTAAAAGATGATGTAAAAATGGGTGCAGTTGATGCAGATAAACATCAGTCCCTCAGAAGTTAGTATGAGGTTCAGGGATTCCCTACCATCATGATTTTTGGGTCCAACAAAAACATAAGATTATCAGGGTGGCAGGACTGTGGACTCCATTGTGGATGCTGCTGTCAGTGCCCTGTGCAAGCTCATCAAGAACTGCCTTGGGGAGGGGATACAGTTCTGTAAGATAAGGTAGAAGTGAAAGTTCAAGTAAGAAAGATGTGTTTGAGCTGACAACGGCTTTGGTAAGAATGTTCTTGACAGTGAACATGTTTGGAAGATGTTGAGTTTTATGCCCCTTGGTGTGGACACTGCAAAAACCTAGAGCCAGAATGGGCCGTTGCAGCTACAGAGGTGAAAGAGCAAAAGAAAGGGAAGGTGAAGCTAGTGGCTATGGACTCCATGGCCAATTAGATGCTGGCCAGCCAGTATGAGATAAGGGCATTTCCTACAATCAAGATATTTCTGAAAGGCAAGTCTCCTGTGGATTGTGATGGGCTGTGGGCAAGATCTGACATGGCCTCCCAGGCCCTGGATCTGTTTTCTGATAAGACTCCACATCCTGAGCTGCTTAAGATCTTCAATGAGGACATCACCAAGAAGAGGTGTGAGGAGCTCCAGCTATGTGTGGTAGCCATCTTGCCCCACATTCTTGACACAGACCACAGGCAGAAATTCTTATTTGGAAGTTCTGAAATTGGCAGATGACTACAAGAAAATGTGGGGGTGGCTGTGGGAAGAAGCTGGAGTGTAATTTGAGCTTGAGAACACGCTGAGAATCAGAGGGTTTGGCTACCCCGCCTTGGCAGCTATTAATGTATGCATGATGAAGTTTGTTCTTCTGAAAGAATCTTTCATGAGCAAAGCATTAATGAGTTTTTCAGGGAGCTCTCTTTTGGGTAAGGATCTACAGCATTGGTTATTAAGAGAATTAAATGAACTAATGTTAGTAAAGTGTTAAGGACAGTACCTAACACATAGCATCAGTCTATCTAATAAAAGAGTAATATGCAGATTGATCATCACTCCAACACACAAGATGGCTGTCCCCATGCGGTCAAAGATCCTGCCCCTATGTGGACACAAGATGGCCACGACAAGATGGCCAGCAGGGGAAAGCAGTTGGGAGGCACCAGACCTGCAAGAGAGGGCAGTTGAGAGAGACCAGGTCTGCAAGGGAGGGCAGTTGGAGGTGATCAACGCTGCAGGGAGGGAAGTTAGGGGTGACCAGGCTGGCAGAGGAAGGAAGTTGGGGGCAAACAGGCTGGCAGGGGAGCAATTAGACATCAATTAGGCTGGCATAAGAGTGGTTAGGGGGTGATCAGGCTGACAGGCAGAAGCAGTTAGGGGCAATCAGAAAGGCAGGCAGGCGAGCAGTTGGGAGCCAGCAGTCCTGGATTGTGAGAGGGATGTCCAACTGCCCATTTAGACCCGATCCCATTGGGTCTAAATGGTAGGATCGGGTCTAAACGGGCAATTTAACATCCCTCGAGGGGTCCCAGATTGGAGAAGGTGCTGACTGGGCTGAGTGACACCCCCCAACTCTGTGCACGAATTTTGTGCACCAGGCCTCTAGTTCTATCTAATAAAGAGGGAATATGCTAATTGACCCTCATGCCATTGCAAAGATGGAGGTGCCCACAGCCAATAAGGATGGAATGTGCTAATTGACTGCCCCGCCCTCAAAGATGGCAGTGCCCACAGCCACAAGATGGCAGCACCCAGTCCCCTTAGCTCTACTGGGGCAGCAGGTGTGCGGCAAGGCTGCCTCCAGAGTACACCAGTCCCCTCAGTACCACAGCTGCCCAGGGCTGTCCAAGGCTCAGGTAACCAGGGCCGGCCAAAGCTTGCACTGCCAGCAGTGGCAGCAGCAGAGGTGTGATGGGGCGTCACCTTCCCCTGATTGCTGGGTCACCTCCCACCCCTGAGGGCTCCCAGACTGTGAGACGGGCCAGGCCGGGCTGAGAGGACCACCCTCACCCCCACCCCCGTCCAGTGCATGAATTTTCATGCACCTGGCCTCTAGTATAAGATAAAATAATGTGACAAATAATGAGTCATAGCTATTGCAGTTTTATTAAGGAAATATTTTATTTATTTAAATGTTTTTGATTGATGCCAGAGGAAAGGAAAGGAGAGAGAGAGATAGAAACATCAATGATGAAAGAGAAGCATCGATCGGCTGCCTCCTGCACTCCCCCTACTGAGGATTGAGCCTGCAACCTTGGCATGGGTCCTGACTGGGAATTAAATCCTGACATCTTGGTTCATAAATTGAAACTCAGCCATTGAACCAGACCAGCCAAGTGGGAAACATTTTTATTTTGTTTCTGAGAAGTATTTACTTTTCACTTAGATCTGATAACAAGGATTAGTGTGGAGTTTGCTTGTATGCCATAGGTCTTCTACCCAAAAAGGTGTGAGAGACAACATCTTGTGGGTGGCAAACCAGTTTTTGAAAACCGACATGCAAAAAAGCACATGCTTCCTTTCTTGGGAAGCATTGGTAGAATATATTCTTGGTGGGTTTGTGTAAATCAAATCCTAACATATAGCAATGTTACTTAAAGAACTTATCTGGGGAATCATTCTGCAAAGTGAAGATGGCTTTTATAAAGCAAACCAGTAACCCTCTGAGGGACATTCAAATTTTGACAAGAGATGGACTGAATTTTTTGTGTCTAAATCTGTCCACCCTGAGTAGATTTGCCCCAGGGGACTCTGGTCCTCTCTCTTTCCAGTTAAATTCGGTGAAACCAAATGTTGTGCAAGTTCTAAAATTAGGCCTCCAGAGAACTTTCGTCTCACTTTGGAACTCTTATTTATTATTTTCTAACTTTGCCGGTTTGGCTGGTGGTTCTGCTGATATAAGCTGGGCTTGGCTAGGTTCACTCATATATCTGCAATCAGTGGCTCTGCTCCTCTTGGCTGGGCTCTCTCATCCATGGAAGGAAGGGACTGAGCTGGGGCAAATGGCTGAGTAGGTTCCACTCCACATGGCCTCATCCTCAGGCAGGCTAGTTTAAACTTGTTTTCATGGCTGAGGCAGGGTTTCAGAAAATAGAGAGAAAATCTCTTGCACAACATTCTTTTCACTGTTTTCTACTAGTTAAAGAAAGTCACAAAGGTCAGGCCATATTTACAGGGGTGGGAAAATAGACTACACCTGAAGGGAGAAGCTACAAATTCTCTCCTAACTCAGAGATAGTAGGGGGCCTCTGAGGTGGTAGTGGGGTCAAGAACTGAGAGCAAAAAACCTGACAGTGCTTTGAAAATTATCAAGTGCCCCACAGACAGTGATTCTGAGTGTGGTGTCCTACCTGACCTGTGCAACTGTGAGTTCCTTGGAACTGGGCTCTGCCCACCTCCTGGCCTCCCTTTTGGTCCTGAGGAGAAACTCACAGAAGTGAAAGGAAATGGAGAGGCAAAGCAGTTACTGAGGACAGAGGCACACACACTGTTC